TGCCAATGTCTACTTTGATCTATGAAGCAGAAGAGATGTATTTCAGTTGTTAAGAAAGGCAGGAAATTTTCAGTTGTGTGATAAGTTACATTGTTTTTAGGAACTGCAATTGCTTACTTTTAGTGATGCAGTATTAAAAATATTCATATTTTTTCTTTACAGGAACTGAGTTTCAAACATGTTAGTAGAGGATAAACAGGTGTTTTTTTCCTGCCTTCTACTGCTTTTCCAGATAATTGCAGATTTGAAAAGGGCATAAAATCTGAGCCTTATTCAGCTTCCCTCTTCTCTACCTGAGAGTTTCTTCTGTTTTCACTCTGGTTTCTGCCATCAAATACAACTCAGCTTATGGGACCATCTTCTTTATGAGAGTGTGATCTTTCTGTAATTATCCTTACAACTTGTTGTTAAGCTTGGCTTTACTCCAAATTTTCCATTATTCTTGTCCATTCAGGCTCTATTTTCTTGTAGATTCCCATTTTTCGATCCTTTCCTCTTGCCCTGTGATAGGTTGTACCACAATAAGCTTCTTTGGCCTTGCTTCTTCCTGTGGTTCTGCAGATTGCAGTGAAGTTTAGTGGCAATTTGATAGGTTACACTCTTTGGGAGCTATGTACGTGCAGGAAATTAACCCGATAAATAGGCTGCTTCATCTGTGTCGTCAGTAGTCACTTTCTCCTTATCCTGATTCTTCGCTCAGGCCCCCTCTGCTGAACTGTGGTTCTGCTGCTCTCATACTGTTTTTCACTTCTTTCTTTAGCTTAGGTGTCTGCCCATTTCTGTCTTTGTTCTTGGTATAAATGGAAGGATACTTGAAGATACAGAAGAAAGGAAAGCGTCACGTTTAAGCCAGGGGCTCTTCTATACAATACTATTTTCATGAAGCTGAAACAGATGGGTGACTCCCACTGGCACAGAATAGGGGCCCTGAGCCAGAATGTAAAAATGCCATAAGACTCTACACCAGAGTAGAGGTAGAGTGGACAAAGAGTGAAAAATACTTCTTTATACTGAACAGGAGAGGAGAACTGCTATGCCCAGTCATTATATGCGTCATCATAATTAGGCAGGAGCATTCATTTATGTATTTCAAACAGGCTGCTGAGTCCCTTTCAATGGGAGAAGGCTGCTTTTCAGGCTAGGACTGACAGCACAGCATGGGCGAAGTCAGAGGATGGTTGAGGAGGTGCAAGTCGGAGAAAAGCAAGTTTGAAGTGCGGCCAAATTATTACGCACTTTGCAAGCATGCCATGACTTGGAGGACCAATGGAGGATGCTGGTGAAGAATACTAATTTTTACAAATTTGAAATTTAGAATCTGTGAAGAAACGATGAAAATGTTAACTTGAAACAACTATGAAAAGAACCCAAAGCAGTCTGAAGTGCCTTAGAATTTTTCTGTGACAAATACTTTTTCTTCTTCTCTGGCAGTTGGAGGTTTCATACATCTTAAATGTCATTGTCAGATAGTGATAATGTTAGTTTTCTGTTTGCTTGTGAGGTATTTCCTCCAGTTTCATGGGTTTACAACCCTTTCTCATTTCAGTACAACCATTATGACAAATCAACCTCCTGCTTAAGAAGTTCTACTCAGCATAAATAGGAATGCAGTCCAAACCTTTTCTCTGGATTGTGATCTTGACTTTATTGAGCTTATAATTAATGGCAGAGTTAATCCCCAAAGACAATGAAGCATTTTTATTTTACAGTATAATAACAGTGCTCAGAGTATGTAATGACTGATTTCTGTACTTTTATGTCACCAAATGTACTGCAAAAACACAAACCTTCCCATTCTTCTTAAAATCTATTTATGCGTAACTGCCATGGGAAATTTGTCCCCTTTATAAAAGAATGGTGCGAGATAGCGGAGAATGGTTAAAAAACTTAACAGAAAATGTTGGAGGCAGAAGCATAATTTTTTGTTAGGTAGTCTCTAGAGCAGGACCAAAGCCAAAGTTCTCTTTGTGTAGATTCTATATTGTTTTGAAAAACATGTTAGACTTGACTACAAACATATATAAAAGAGAAATGCTAGCAGATGTGTTTGTGTAGAGACAAATCTAGAGTTCTCCAGTGAACATTTGGGGGAATGTAGACTTTTGAATTTATTGTCCATTAATACAGAGAAATAGTTGCTGTTTACTTTCTTGGTTTGGAGCTTTTGAAAAAAATAATTACGATATATTCCATGACAAACGGAAGTTGATGTTGATGGCAGCAAAAGCTTGCAAGCATCCAGGATTTGGAATGTGTTCCAGCAAAGTACATGTTTTCGATCAATTACTTTTACTTTCAGTCCCCCAACCTGCCGCTATTTCATTTACTGTTATTTCTGCATACATCCACACGGAAACACAAGATTTTTAATCTGCATTGTAAATTCTCGCAATTTATTTGTAGCAACTGCTGCTGATTTTCTCTTTATTATTTGTTATTATTAATTGTAATGCTTTTTGAGAAGCTGAAAACAGACTAGAGAAATAATTTCCTAGAAGAAAGAGAAACCAACTGTAACTAGATGTGTCTTTTTTCAGATATAAAAAATTTGTTAAAGAGTTGGATGTTCATTAATTTGTTGGTAACCATTTGGTAAAGCCTAGCTAACTCTTCTAGAGCTTTTAATGATAACAGTATGAACTAAGAATCCATTCCTTTGCTGTAGCTATGTAGGAAACGCCTGGTTACCTGTGCTTAGAGGTGATTTGTTGTGAGAAAAATGAAGCAGGGGGAAAATATGACAGATGTATTGGACACCGGGCTTTACAAAATCCTCATTGCAATGCAGACATGTAATTGCAGGAGGCACAGTGGTTTTCAGAGCCATATATCTTTATGGACAGGTATAGATTGTTCTTGCAGTGCTCCAAACTGGGGGGATGCGAGACAGCTCAGTTCTTACAGCCGTATTAGGGTGATGTTGTCAAGCTACCATTTTCTTCTTCTAAGCATAGGTTATTAGCTCAGGTACAGAGCTTGCAACACCCGTGGCTACACAGCACGTGGACCAGAGATGTTTTTTGTCCCGTCAGCTCAGACTGCAGGCAGAGGAGTTTTTGCCTTTCTCTATGGGTCTGTGTTTTGCTGGAGTGGTGTCTGTCTTGTCAGTCAGTCTGTTTTGTATGCTGTGTGGAAATGGAAGAAGGCAGCAGGGCCTGGGGAGCTGGGCACGCGAGCTGGGAGGAGGAATCTGAATTTTGTTCCTGATTTTGATACTAACCTGCTGTGGGACCACAGGGAAGTAATTACACTTTTCTGCTTACTCTTGCAACCGTTGCCTGCCCTGTTTATGTAACTGGTGCACACAGATTAGCTCTCCGTACACCTCTGAGTGCTCAGGCTGCACAGAAATCAGGAGGGTAGCTGGAAATTTCACACCAAAAGCTGCTGTAAAAGAGAACAAAACAAAAAACCCAACAACCAACAGAAAAAAAAACAAAACAAAACAAAAAACAACGAACCAGAAAACCCCTAAAAACTGGAGAGCTGTGAAAAGAACTGGTAAGGGATTATCTTTCCCAGTCCCCTTGATCACCAGTATAAGCTTGCCCACTATGTCTCCCTGATGAAAATCTAGTGTCTCTCATTTCTCACAGCCCTTTCTTTCTCTAAGCCCATTCTCCTGCCATTTAACCACACCACTTGTTTCCAGTCTTTCTCCTAGAATTCACAAAGTCTCAGATTCTCCAGGTTCTCTCTCTCAATCTTGATCCTGTGTCTGTCTTTTCTTCTCTTTTTTGGGGGGTGTGTGTCTTACAATAGTTCCTTTGCTTGGCTGTTTTTCTGTTTTCTGGTTCCTAAGTCCCAGTCTTATCCCTCTCCCTCCTTTCCTTCATCTTTCCAACTCTTCATCAGGGTCCAGTCTGCCGTCTGGATTTCAAGTTTATTCCAGTACATTTTCCTCTTATTCTACTCCAAGTATATTATCCCCATTTCTTAGTTACAGCTTCGCTTTTCTGTAACATTTGTCTTTTTCCCCTGATCCTTCCACCCCCTTATACAAATCTGTCTGCTTCCTTGGTTGGTTCTATTCCTTTTCCTTGTTTCCAAGCCTTAGCTCTTTACTTTTGCATCTCAACTGGGAGCAGTGCAGGATCACTGACTGTACTAGGAAACGGCAATATATCACTGTGAGCACTAAGAGAAAAGGTTTCTGGTTCTAATGCCTAGCCTCAGCTTTAT